TGAAAGGACCAAGGTATAAAAATAGAGACATCCGTATAATTCTACACAGACCATATCTAGATTCTTTGAATGCTAAAAAAACCTCCTAGGATCTGCAAACCTCTCTGGAGAGAGGCTTCTAAGTCAGGGGATTCCCAAGAGAGCAAATCTAAACTCCTCCTTCGTAAAACATTGTAAAGGATGAATATCCAGCCCAAGAAAACCAGTGCAGCAGAGAAACAAAAGAGAGACCAGTAGGAGAAGAATGACCAATGCAAGACGAAGGCTTCCAAGATTTGCAGACCAAAAATAGAAAGCATATTCTCACAACCACAGAATAGTAGAAGCCCCATCCAACCACAAATCTTCTTGGAATATCCTTTTCACAACCACAGGCTATTAGAAGCCTCTTGTAATGGATCCAGAAATTATAGAGATCAAGACCACCCTTGTAGAATTCCAACAGTCAAAGCAGAGAAGTATGAAACAAGATCAAAACCCAAATGAAGAGCAACCCCAATAATACCTTAGACTCAGACATTGATCTTGAAGAAAAAAAGAAGACAAACAGGTACCGGTTGTATTCTTTCCTAGTAGAATTTCCTTACTTTTGGAAAAATTATCCCCCATGTATAGGGATAAATCAGTAATTCGGACTGTATAAACAAACTGTGTTTTTTGCTTGAACTGTGAATGGACTGTTGTGTTTGTTTTAGCATTCGAATGTATGGACTTATATCATGTGTATACTAGGAAATAACTATGATCTGCCTTAACGTATCCCTGTAAAAAAGACTTCTTCCTCATATATGCATGTTGCATCATAAGGTCCAAAACTAGATCATCTATTAGAGTACTTTGACCTTAGAGCGTGGAGATTTAATTTGTCGCTGATCCTGCAGTAGGAGTTGTCTCGTATGTAGATTTAGAGTATGAGGGGAAGTATGAGTGTGAGAGACTTGGTCACAGACTCCTTGTTTGGCCAAAGAGTCTGCAACTGCATTACCTTCTCTATAGGAATGCTGTATTTGATATTCAATCTTTCTAGAGAGGGCCCAAAACTTCCAAGCTAACATAGACTCCTGCTTAATCAGGTCCACAAGGACTTGAGAATCTGTCTCAATAATCAAGGGATAAGCCTCCAAACCATAATCTTTCACAAGAAGCAAACCATCCAGAAGGGCAAGAATTTATGCTTCCATATTTGAACAAATTCCATAGAAATATGACCCAGCTAGAACCATTTGACCCCACTCATTACGTAGGACCACACCACCACCAGATTGACCTGGGTTGCCCTTTGAGGTGCCATCTGTATTTAACTTGAGAGTACCCTGAGGAGGAATGTTCCAACAAATCCATTTAACACTCTTGAAAACCTTTGTGCATAACCTAACATTAAGAGATTAGAGCATAGAGTGTCCACTAACTGAATCCATGACTTTGGGCTTAAATATAACTGCTTGCAACCTAAGCAGATGAATAGTAAGAAAAAATAGAGAGTCAGGAGACTGCTTCTGATTCTCAAAGACCCTATAGCAACGTTATTTCCATAACTACCAATAAACCAGCTGGGGTAAACTCGTTAAAGTATGACTCTTGGACTATTTAGAATAAATCTTGCACAATCTGAGAAACCAGGATATTGGAGACTCCGGAGGGAAACACCTGAAGACCAAACAAACTAGAAATTTTGCACCAAAGTTGAGAGCTGAAAGTGCAAGAGATAAATAAATGAGAAGCAGATTCCTCCTTGCAACAACATAAAGGGCATCTACTTGCCATAGAAATTCCCAAACTCTTGAATTTTGAGTCTAGAGGGAGTGCATTCTTCATACGCTTCCATCCCATTAACTGTGCACTAGGAGGAGAGCACAACTTTCATATGTTAATGGCCTGATCATCTTGCATATTATTCCTCCTAGACAATTCCCATGCTGTTTTGATAGAGAAGTTCCCCAGTGAAGTGGGCTGCCAAATTAGCTTGTCTTGTTGTTCAGATAGGGTGACCCCAAAGGAGTGAACCTCCTAGAGAAGATTTTGATATAACTGGTGAATTACACTTTGTAGCTTCCACTGACCTTGAATAAGCAACTCCGACAACTTAGGAAAATGAACTGGCATAGTGGAATTCCTAAGAAGAAGAGGGACTCCACTTGTCCAATTATCACACCAAAAATTCACACTAGAGCCTGAACCAACTAACATCTTTGAATTGCTAATGATGACTTCAAACCACGGGGATAACACATTAAGGCACCTGGGTTGCACCTGGTTATTGAAACGCAATAAATGATTACCCTTTAGATACTTTGTAGAAAAGAAAGAGGACCACAGGGAGCTATTCTGCAAGAGGTTCCACACCTGCTTCATTCTAAATGAATTATGCACTTCCTCAAATTTTTGAATTCCCAAACCACCCTCACTTAGTGGCAGCGTAACTTTATCCCAAGAAATCAAATGCCTTTTCTTTACATTTTCCATATTAGACCACATAAAAGAAGACACATCGGAGTTCATCTTTGCTATGATCCCTTTAGGAAGGTTCAAGGAAGCAAGTAGATGAATGGGTAGCGAACATAGCACAGATTTAATAAGGACTATTCTACCCATATTCGAGAGGAGCTTAGCATACCAACCCTCCAACCTTGACTGAAATTTCTGCAATATCTTCTCAAAATAGAGTAACTTAACCCTCCCCTTAATAATTGGGCATCCTAGGTATGTAAGGACTTTGCTTAAGAGGTATATTGGCCACATGTGATAAGCTATGCTTCCTAGCAACTGAGATTTTAGAAGAACAATATAGGGAACTTTCCATTTTATTAACTCTTTGACCAGATGACTGCTCATACCTGCCCACAAATTTCAACAGGTTGATCATAGACCTCTTATGCTCTCTCAGGAAGATGAGAGTGTAATCTGCAAACAATAGGTGGCTTAGAACCCTTAAACCTCTTCCTGTGTGATAACTTTGGATTAAACCTTGCTCAAATTGAAATCTCAATCCTCTACTCAACACCTCTTCAACTAAGATGAAAAGAGAGGGTGATAAAGGATCACTTGTCTTAAACCTCTCGTGCTGGGACAGAAACCATGTCTAACACCATTAATAAATAAAGAGAGATTCTGATGACTTAGGGAGTTAGAAACAATAGCTATCAAGTCTTCAAAAAAACCAAAGCTATTCAATGTAAGTTTCAAAAAATCCCACTCCAATCTATCAAATGCTTTCATCATATCAAGTTTAACAATAACATTTCGAGCTTCCACCTTACGGTCATGATCATTCATCATAAACTGGGTAAGAGCAATGCTATCCCCCACAGTTCTTCCTTTGACAAACCCATGTTGTTCAGCTGAAATTAGCTTAGGCAGCAACAACCCCAGTGTATTTGCTAGCAATTTTGTGAAAATTTTGTATAAAAAAGTACAAAGGCTAATGGGTCTAAAATCGGCAAATGTGGATGGAATGCCTTTCTTGGGGATCAAAGACAAAATAGTGGTGTTAACTGATCTAGGAATCACCCCACCCTAAAGGAAAAAATTGATTGCAACCAAAAGGTCATTTTTCATAATTTCCCAGGTAGTTTGGAAGAACTTACTTGAGACTCCATCAGCTCCATGTGCACTCTGCGTAGACAGGCCAAATATAATAGATTTGAGTTCCTATAAAGTGGTTGGGGAGGTAAGCATCATATTTTCTTCAAGAGAAACCAGCCTGGGAATACTGTTAAACAAGCCATAATCAATAGAGTAGGGTTCAGAGCTATATAGTGCAGAAAAGAAATCCACTATACAATTAGCAATAGCCTCTTCCTCCTCTAACCAGTGACCCTCTGCATTCTTAATTCTTGAAATCCTGTTCCTGGCGACCTTGCCTCTAGCAATGGCATGGTAAAGTCTGGTGTTTCTTTCCCCTTCAAGGGCCCATTGTATGCTCACTTTCTACCTCCAATACATTTCCTCCAGTCTGAGAACCTTATCTAGTTCCATTTTAGCATTGTTCAAAGCTTGCTCATTGAGCTCAGAATCATCCTCCTCCACTCTTCGTTCAGCTCGCTGCAACTGCCTTTCTTTCACTTTGATATTATCAAACACATTACCAAAAAATTCTTTATTCCTCCTTTTTAAATGGAATTTCAAATACTTTAGTTTCAAAAACACGTTCTCAATTGGGTTCTTGGAATAACTGTCCATTCAGTTATTCTCCACTAACTTTAGAAAACCCGGATGTGCTGTCCACATATCCAGAAATTTAAAATAAGATATCTTCCTTGGGGCTGCAATTTCAGAGAATCTATAGATAAGAGGACAATGATCAGAGTGAATTCTACTAGCATGCTCCACTTCTGTCTTCTCAAATCTATCCCCCCAATTAACATTATCCAGAGCCCTATCAATCCTTTGCCACATGCGAGACATACCTTGGCAGTTATTACACCAAGTGAAAGACGCCCCAGAGAAACCACAGTCATATAGACCAACTTCATTTATGAAAGACACAAATTCATTCATCACAGCAAGAGAGGGAGAAGCTCCACCCTTTCTCTCTGTAGAGGAAACAATCGTATTGAAGTCACCTACTGGCATCCAAAGCGCATCAGAAAATTGTATATCAGCCAAATGAGACCATAATGGTCTTCTTAGTAAATGATCACATTTTGCATAGACAAATTTAATAAAGAACGACAATAACCCCAAGAAAGACACCTCAACAGTCAAAGTTTGCTCATGCACTGCAATCACATTAACTTTCACTCTGTGGTCCCAAAGAATGCAAATATGTTTTTCAGCCATCGAATTTGCCATGTAAGAGGAATAGCCCAAGCTAACACATAAACTTTGCAATTTAGAAGGCAGAAACTTTGGTTCAAGAAGAGATACTAAACATACATCGTTTAACTTAACAAGTTCCTTAAGCCTTATTCTGGAAGTTTCTGTATTCGCTTCCCTCACGTTCCAAGAAATTGTATTAATTATAAGAAATTTGGGGTAAAGATTGCTTCCTAGATTTGGATCTAGTAACAATGCCTGAATGGTTTATAATCCTCCACTTGCAAGTTAATTGAGTCAATTTCAACACATGCAAGATTAGTAGTAACCTCAACATCAGAGTGGAAGCCTTTATCAGGTGGTTCATTAGCACAATACAGACCTCTGTCATCATCCAAAGATGTACCGCTATTACCAACACGAATATAATCATGATCTACAAAGAATGTGGAATCCGAAGCCAAGGATATTTGATTATTCAATAGACACGGTCCATCAGACTGGTCATTGGTTTTCTCCATAGCTGAAGCTTCAGGCTGACCATTGGTAATCACCATAATTGCAATCTTTGTAGTTTCCTTACTAGTCTCCCGAATATCCTCTAATACGTTACCCAAAGTTTCATTTCTTGTGTCTCGAATTTCCTTTTCTATAATATCCAAACCTTCCTTATTCGCTACCAGAATTACCTCCGCTGGACCACCAAGGCCTCTAGGGTCAACCTGTGGCAAAGAGATATTATCTGTCCCTAAGTGATCTCTATCCTCCATCACTCTCACTGTGTCCTCCTTATACGTTTCCTAAATTTGTGCCATAGTTTCCTTGACATTCACCGAATTTCCTTGCTTCCCTACAACTTTCTTCTGCATGTATTGTGGTTTCCAAATTCCTCTTTGCTGCTGTGGTCCGTTTGAAATCTTTAATTGCGATTGAGTTCCTTTATTCCCATTATTCTCCATATTTGGCTGGCTCTACTTTCCATCAATTTCCAAGATTTGCTGGACCTACTTTCCTTTATTCTTCTATGTAATAACCTTATTTACCTTGAATTCTTTAGGAAGTAAATCTCTGCTTTCCATATTTTCTTGCGATTTCTTTCTGCGGCATTCTTCCTCGCTGTGACCCTGCTTTCTGCACGTTTTGCAGAAATGTTTGCTCTTCTCATACACTATGTGCTGCCATCTAGCACCCTCATCACCTATATCCAGCCAAATTCTAGATGGATTGTTGGCTAAAAGATTGACTTCCCCACACACTCCAGCAACCCCCGATCTTGAAAGTGTCAATGTGGCCTGATCATACTCTAATACTTTCCCAATCGGCTTAATTAGAACCTCCAAATAGTTTTTCTTGAAAAAATTCAGTGGCAGGCCAGGTAAAGAGATCCACATGGCACAATTGAAGGCTCTATTCCTTGGATAAAGCCTGAAAACCATTTGAAGAATCGGAACAAGTAGTCTTCAATCATAGCATCCTTTAACCATGTCTTCACATAATCTTCTTACTTTTCAAAACGTATCAACACATGCTTTGGGTCTATGGAATCAATCTCAAACTCGCCTTTCAAACCCCATTTAGACCTTATCCCTTCACGAATCTCGCCCAGACTAGGTCTGCCATAGGCACACTTGCCTATTAACGAATATTGAAGAGATAAACATGATTGTTTAACCTCTTCATTGGTGAAGTAGAAAGCAGGTTCCTCCTCATAAAAAAAACAACAGGTTTTTCAATCCTGGGTAGATATTCTTCCACAAAAACAGGTTTGGATAATTGTTTGAAGAGGGAAGCATAGGTGGGTTATGTTTGTGGAGGATTAACAGGTTGTAAATCACGTGATTTTGGCGGAATATGGGAAGAACTTGGTGTGTCACTCATGAACTTAGAAAATCCTAGAGAGAAGTTAGAACCAAAGTAAAAAAAATGACCCCCCGACATTCAACTGGTATAATTACCTCCATTTATTTTGATATAATTACTTGGAATTATGTTAGGTTTATTATAAATCTAATTACTTGCATTCAAGTGTGCTCGCAAACCATTCCACGAAATACCTAATAAAGGCTTGATCTATCGAAACAAAAGGCTTCGTGGCTATTTTTTATCTGTGTGATTTTCTTTTTCCACATCCGCCTTGCAAGTGCAAGTTCCGTCACATCTGTTTTCATATCCGCCTTATGTCGTTGCCTAGATTGTGAGAATGGACTTCATCTATGTTGAAAGTGACTTGAAGTTTCTTCCCCTATGACATAAGTTTTTGGTTCTACACGGCAACGACAAAGTATTATATATGGTTTGCTATTTAAATTTTGGTTGTTTTCTAATGCATTATCATGAATTTTTTATATTGATATCTTTTTACCTTATTTTTCTCTTTTTGTTGTTGAATTTTCTTGTGTTCCCAGATTATCTCTTTTTAATTCTATTAAACTTTGTTTTATGGTACACATTACAAGTAGGAAAATATTCATAGAACTTTCAATGAGTTCTTCATTTTAATGCACGATAAAGAGCACAAATGTTGCTTGGATTTCTGGATAGATATTATCAATTTTAATTATTCTTTGTGTTTGGTGTTCTTAGGAAGCATGGTTTGAAATCCTTTTTACGCACAATGAGTTAATCATTTATTTTGCCGAATAATATCATCATTCTTTGATTGGTCGATTTTCTAAGGGCCAAGCTTTATGTTAGATGCAATGGATTGTTAGTTTGTGAAATACAGATGTAATTCACCGGCGAATTTGCCATTAGTGGTTTATTCAATGCATGAAGTTATTTCTTTTTTGTCTACCTTTCATTTAATCAAACTCTAATTTTTGTTCCTTAGTTCTAAACAATTTGAAATTTGTTTACTTGGTCAGCTCTTCTTTTATGTACTTTTCTAATGCTCTATTCTTCTAGGAGTATTCAATTTATTATACGATGCTAATATATATATTTTTTACTTTGTTAGACGTGCTAAACAGTGATAATTTCATAACGGTAATTGTAATGAAAATTGTACTGATGAATATAATTGGGATAAGAGACATATATACTTGATCGTTGAGGTGGAGGAGAGTAAAATTTATATATTCAAAAGTTGATTGATGAAAGTTTTGTTGTATTATGGTGAATTTTTTTTTTTGGAAGTTAATGGGAAGTGCATCTTCACTTTTGGTAACTTACGGGCAATACTTTTTATGTACAATTTTCTTTTTTCATCCTTTTTTGGTAACTTATTCTCATTCTGTCGATTCAATATGGTCCCGTGATATTTTACCTGCAAGATAGAAGACTACTAATTTTTTTAGTGTTTTTTCCCTCTCCATGTTTTCTTTTGTGAGTAAAATTCTTATATGTTAATACATTCACCAATGTAGGTATATTTGGGTGGACCGTTGAATGAGTCCTATGTGGAAGCTATAAAGACTCAAATGGATGCTTTGGGGGATATGAACCCCCAGAGTTAAATGCAGTTATATTTCCATGTTAAGGTATATAGAAGTTATATGACCCATATTGAGTATACTTTCTTTTTGGTTCTTTAAATCATTTTTATTGGACATGGTATTTTGTTATTTTTGGTTTGCAGGTGGAAAAAATTTAATGAGACAAAAATTTATGGGTTGATTTTATCCACTTCTTTCCTTCTTTCGAGATCATGGATTAATTTTTTTTTTGATCAACAGATTGTTGCATAAAATATTGGATAAATGTTGTAGACCTTTAATTCTATGGTGGTAGTTTTTGTAACCCATCTAGATTGAAATCTTTGCATTTATGTATATTGTGCATGTGTCATAGTTTTCTCCGAATACGTGTATTTGTGTTTAAGGTNATATTGGATAAATGTTGTAGACCTTTAATTCTATGGTGGTAGTTTTTGTAACCCATTTAGATTGAAATCTTTGCATTTATGTATATTGTGCATGTGTCATAGTTTTCTCCGAATACGTGTATTTGTGTTTAAGGTTTATAGAAGGTTTTACATGAGCAAGGTTGTATGTACACGCATACTTTAGTTTGATCATTTATTTGTGGAAGTGTGCGAATTCTGGTGGATGTGGTCTATAGTCGCCAAATATCCATACCATTTAACACATCACTTATGCACCTAGGTTAAAAATAAGTGCTTGCCACTCACAAAAAAAAAGCACCATCCACGTAAAGGGAACACAACATACGGGTCGATCCAGTTGAAAAGTATATACACCGTAGNTAGTTTGATCATTTATTTGTGGAAGTGTGCGAATTCTGGTGGATGTGGTCTATAGTTGCCAAATATCCATACCATTTAACACATCACTTATGCACCTAGGTTAAAAATAAGTGCTTGCCACTCACAAAAAGAAAGCACCATCCACATAAAGGGAACACAACATACGGGTCGATCCAGTTGAAAAGTATATACACCGTGGTAGTGGGTCATTGCAGTTGAAAAGTGAGACTCAAAAATGATATTCAACTAAGACAATTACACCATTTGTGTTCCCATTCAAGCCAATAGAGATTAACAGCTCCCTAATAATGCAGGCCTAACTCCTAAAAAGAAAAAAAAATTCTTAAAAATAGAAATGAAACTATTTTGTCCATTTTTTAGATTTTAATATCTGCTTTAAATTTGACTTTTTTCAAATAAAACTTTTTACAAAATAATTACATTTTTACTTTTACGAGCCAAGTCCTATATTTTTGGCATATAATTGACATGAAAAACATTTTTAATTGACTAAGCAAAAAATTACTATGGGAATTATTTTGTGGGAAGTACCCTTGGATCGAAAATATTTTTGGAAAGGAACAACCTTTTGATATTTGGATAGTTGTCCATTGTTATGCGTATGTCGGACTGAGAAAGAGTTATGACTTATGAGAGACAAAACATAAAATACGTTGACAGAGACGGGGCTGGCTGAGAAGAGTAGTGGCAAAACACTACTTTCCGAATGGATTGGCTGTCCATTTCCTCTGTTGCCTTCACAAGAAGCCTTAAGGTCAAAACCCAACTCAAATTTTGCCCATAGCGACAAGTCAATAACTAATCCGCTTGCATACACTTCACGTAACAAGGATTCATAAGAAACAACGACGCAATCCCATATCCTAAATCAACTTTACGTAGTGATTATTAACTAGTTCATGATGCTGAGTTAGTGGTGTTTCTAACGGTGTTGAAATTTTCAATTCAGCATTTTCTCATTCGCCCAACTCAAAAAAGATCACCATGGAAAATGTCAGCTACTGGGTATTGACGAACTCAATATTCAACCATGTAACCTTTGAAAAATAAAATGAAAAAAACTTGAATTTAGAGAGCTATAAATAGCTGACATTGCCTAACGTTTTTCCTCACAAAACCAGCTTCAAATTAATATGATGACAACCCCAAGAGCTTCTTTGCTTTCTCTTTTTCTTGTTTTTCTCTTTTCATTTTTATGGGGAGCTTCAGCTCATTCCAATAAAGCTTTTCTTCAATGTCTTTCCCATCCATCTAAGAAATCCACCGCAATCTCCAAAGTTATTTATACTCCAAACAACTCTTCGTACTCATCTGTCTTAGATTTCTCTATTCAAAACCTAAGATTCACTTCACCCAGCTCCCTGCGACCTTTGGCCATAATCACACCACTGCATGAGTCTCATATCCAAAGAGCTATATATTGTTCACGAAAATATGGCATACAGATAAGGGTTTGAAGCGGAGGACATGACTATGAGGGTATTTCTTANACGAAAATATGGCATACAGATAAGGGTTTGAAGCGGAGGACATGACTATGAGGGTCTTTCTTATGTTTCCCCTGTACCATTCATCATCATTGATATGAAAAATATGTGATTAGTTGTTGTCAATACTAAAGACAACACGACGTGGATTCAAGTTGGTGCGACTCTTGGTGAACTTTATTATAACATCATAAATAAGAGTAGCACACTTGTCTTTCCAGGGGTATTTGTCCTTCCGTGGGTGCTGGCGGACATATAAGTGGGGGAGGA